AAAGTCTAGAAAAGGTCTTGTTTATTTTTGACAGAAACTAAAAGAAAGATATGACTAACAGAACTCTTAATAAATAATAATAATAATAATAATAAGATGATGAAATCAGAAATAAATAAACAAAACAAACAAACAAACAAACATAATATATTAACTCTCTATCTTCTTCAACATAAATACAATCTACATTATAGCTATTGTTATTTGACAGACTTGTTACTTGGTTTATAACTCTTGTTATCACCTCTAGAGGCTCTAATATAAAACAGTTTATTACCAACTTAACGCTTTTTCTTCATATAATATTTGTTGTATATTAACAATCAATTCCTGCAAATCTTGGGAGATTTCAAATCATAAACCAAAGCATTCTATTTTTAGGTTTGGGTAGTATTACTAGTAATAGAAACTAGAAATATTAAAACAGAACCTAAAAAAACATGTTGTTACTCAGAGTTTCACGCTATGTGATCTTCAGACAAGTGACCTATATCATATTTTAGCTTAGAAACGTACACCATATGTACGTACGTACATAATGACACCATAATAACATGAAGACACCATTGTCAAGACATGTAGACACCATTGTCAAGACATGTAGACACCATACTCACATGTAGACACCATTGTCAAGACATGAAGACATCGTAATCACATGTAGACACCATCATAAAGACATAAAGACATAAAGACACTGATAACCAGACGTTTAACAATAAAGAACTATGAGAAGATGATATTTTGTACACGATGAAAACAGTAACATAAAGTATTATATTAATCTGGTAGCTGATTGGTCCAAATTTTTAAATTTCATATTTTCGAGATATGTAATAAATTTCAAATTCATTGCTTTTATATAGAGATTGATAAATTTTAAAAAAAACATTCTCTGCGTTCAGTTGACCATTTTTTATTTTTTTTGTCAAATTTGGACAGAACTCATTCATTAGAAACAACTTAAGGAAATTTAAAATTTAAAATTTTGAACCAATCAGCTCAATTTGTGAGACAATATTAAGAAATTTGTGACAATATTATAAAACAATATCTCCATTTCCATTGTTTGGATTGGTTAACGCTTCAGTACACATTCCACTTCCTGTTACAAGTTTAGGACTGGAAGCGGCGGGAATTTGGCTAGCAGACGACAGATTATGGTCGCCATTTTGTTTGAGTTTAAAGTCACTATTGCTCAGTTTTAATTGTTTGACACTATCGGTTTCTTCCGAGTCCAATTTCCGTTTTCTATTTTGTCCCTCCTCCATTCCGCTATCTGAGTTATTGTCTTCACTTGACACGGAATTTTCTTCACCATCGTTACTCGAAGCTGGTTTTGATGATTGTAATTCTTTTAGTTCCTCAGCGAACCCCGCCATCCCATATTGTTGAGCAATACGAAGTCCTTCGTCAAATAAAGTCTCTTTGAATTGTCCGCCCATGGATTGGGTCGACTCCGCGATGGCCGTATAATATGAACTGAAACTGTCGTTTGAATTATTCGGTGATCGACCCGAGGAAAAATCTGAAAGATCGACAAAAAAAAAAAAATTTATAAAAAAAAAGGTATTTGAGGAAAAGTGAGGATTTTACTCAAAAATCTAAAATACTAATAAAACAGATCCATGATAAAATAAAAACATAATAATAACTATTCTCATAAATCAGTGATTTTAAACTCATAATACGATTCCATTACAGGTTGAGGCAAAACCCCAAAACATTGCAGCCATCTTTCACTGAAGATGATAGTGGGGGCTAACATGATAAAATCCCTATAATATATCAGAACTTACCTTCGCCATCAAAACCTAATTCACCGTTTCTTTTCATTAAATATCTATAATAATAATACAGAGAGTTGGAATTTCACTCATTCAAAGATTTTCAAATAAACTGCAGAATAATTCTCAATTCATTGATGTCGTGCAAAAGCAAAATCCGACATCAACTGACAATAGTCTAGTGTACTCATGTTATCCCGACATCAACTGACAATAGTCTAGTGTACTCATGTTATCCGACATCAACTGACAATAGTCTAGTGTACTCATGTTATCCGACATCAACTGACAATAGTCTAGTGTACTCATGTTATCCGACATCAACTGACAATAGTCTAGTGTACTCATGTTATCCCGACATCAACTGGGACAATATAAATATCTTGGATTGTGAACAGCAAGAGAGGTAAGTGACTATTGAATTCATTTCCGGAACTTTTAGGAAAACGGTGACGCTTTTCGCACTTCTTACGCGGAAAAAAAAAAAAAAAGAATCTGCAACTCATTTCCAGAAATTTAGGGGAGTCTTATCGAAAAGTTAATAAAACCAGTTAGTTCTACTGCTCTACATTGACATCTTGAATAACATACAATAAAAAATCTTCATCACAATGACAAAATGTAAATAATTTCGATATTTTTTTACCTTTTTTGTCTGCGTATAATTTCACTCTGTTCTTTCATCAGATGCATCTGTTGATTTTTATATATCTCCATTTCATTTTTAAGTTTCTGGAGTTTTTCTGCGTTTCCCGATTCTGTTAATTCTTCAATCTCTCGTTCAACCTTACTGACTTGACTTTTTATTTTTAAAAATTCTGTATTAATAGCTGTTAACCTTTCCTAGGAAAAATAGTTTTAAAGATGATAATACATAACATATTTTTCTGTTACTTTATAACAGTTGTGTACTGTATTATTATTTCAAATACAGTATTCTTAACATCTAGAGGCCCATGTGCTACAGACTGTACATGTTAAAGATCCCTCTACAATTGGAAATCAAAAAGAGTAGGCTACTAGCAAAATTTTCCTCATCACACCCTGCATGGTGTTGCCCGTCTTCATTAGCTAACATGGTGCAGAAAAGTAGGACGTTAAATTCCTTGCATTTGATTTTTTTTAGTTACGGTCGTTTTGTTTTTCAAAGGGTTCAAAAATATACCAATATCTCTTACCTCTCTCTGGAGTCGTTCATATTCTGATTGTTTGGGTGATAAACTTTCTGGTTTTAATTTCTTAATATCAGCTCCCCTAAAACACAGGCAGAGTCATCAAAATTACAACATGAAACAATGCTGTAGAGATCAAAATATGCATACATTTCTACTCATCAAAAACAGATTTTGACTTTACATAATCAAAACTGACTAGCTGCCCTAAAACATTAACAATGTCACCCATATCCTTTTACAATTTAACAAACCACAAATTAGCAAACCACACTCATTTTTGCAAATTCTAGTTTTTCATTCAAAGGCAAATTGTCAAACCACTCCAATCAAAATTGATGCTTCTAATTTTAAATTTGGGGGGAGGGGAACTTGGGAGAAAAAGGGAAATAGGAAAATGTTTTCTTTTTAATCGTTTTCCATTTTGATTCTTTCTCTTACTTTGATTACAAGTTTCATATCAAATTACTAAACCAGGGGTCTGTTTCATAAATCTTACACTCCTTTTCTGTTGTAATTTCAGGAAGTAAACTTCGTTTTAAAGTAAGAATTTTTCAGGTAAGAAGCCCAACTGTCCTGATGATAGGTACGATATCCAAAACATGAGACTATAGAAGTCAGTATACATCTAAATCATATATTAAATTCATCCCTTATTTGCTTAAAAAGTGGTGTCTTACATCTCTAGTCAATAAGATAACAGTCGAGAGTATCCATACAGTAGAATATTCTTATGTCGATTCTCAATCCTGATCAATGAGTTTGCTTACTCTGCTAATACACCTCAAGAAAATAAAGATGAGTCAACATTCTTGTTACTCGCGAATATTTGCTGACTACCTTCTGATATAATGAATTACCATCAATTGAAATAAAATAAGGAACTTTGTGCTTACATTTTGGAAGAGACATCATTGAACCCATTTTCAAATGTTTTTAACCTAAACATGAATAAAGTCAAACCATCAAAAAATATTTCACAATTTTCAAATAATTTGGATAAATTGACAACAGTGATAAGATATATATATATATATGAAGTTAGAGTTTAGTTTGAAAATAAATATTAAGATTCATGCAACATGCCGAAAATAACAGAAACAGAAAATAAAATATTAAAAGAAATTTAGACAGTTTATTGAATGAATTTAGTTTTGTTTTGATCATAGAAATATCAGATTAACATTTTATATGGACTCTCAGTCTGTTGTGTGTGTAAATGGATAAATCAAATTATTGCCTGAGCAAATCAAAAAAATTTTGAAAAATTTGTAAGCGAATCAGTCGCAAAATAGTACCGTCAGTCTTAAAAATTCTTTGCGTTGTTAAAAATATAATTTTTTGAAAGTTTACATTGAGAAGAAAAACACAATTTTCCGGAGAAATTTCAACCCAAAAATGTCACAAATAAAAAGGAATCAGGAATTTAAGGTTAAAAAGTCAGAAAGAAAGAGATTAAAAGAAACAACATGCTTTTAACAAAAATTAGGAGAAATAAATTAAAAATAGATGCATCAATTTTGATTGAAAAACATGCAAAAAAAAATAAACTCAAAATTTAAAAAAAAAAATAAATGTGTTTCTAATTCTACCATGAAAATATTCAAGCACATGACATATAATATAAAAATATCAATTTCCATTAAAACTATAATATATAGCAATGAAATTTTGAAATCTGCCTGGACTTCTGATAAGTAGGGGGGTCACGTTGGTTAAGTGAGATAGACGCCTTACTTGCTAACCTGAAGGTCCAGGGTTCAATCCCAGCGTAGGTGGAGATAATACCTTCGATTTTTCAACCCAGTTTCCCCCAGTCAGTGATGCAGGTAAGAGGGGCTGACATGGCAAGCGTCTAGTTGTTTGGATGGGAACAAAAAACCAAAGCCCCATGTGCTATAGAATGTGCATGTTAAAGATTCCTAGACAGTTCAAAAGAGTAAGCTAATGTCACTGTCCTGGCAAAATTCCCTCATTGTACACTTATTCCCAGGCATAGAGCTGATCCAGATTGGATTTTGGAAAGAAACTTTAAGAGAACTTACCTGGAATGTCCTTTAGAATATTGGTAGCCGCTATTCCGTACAACTTGTCGAGCCAAGGGGAATAAATCTTCTCGCCTTGTTAATAATGACGGCATGTAACGACATAACTGAGCAGACGCTTCATTCACTGACATCTATAAATAGATTTAAAAAATTTATCATCAAAGTTTGATTCAAACCAAATAGAACCAGACAATTAGTTATAATAAATTTAATGTTCCTCTTGTGACCCAATCTTTGATGGGAAAGCCTTGCAAAAACAGACTTGGGACTGTACAAAGAAATGGACACCATTTTCCAGTTGGTGTATTGGTGCGTTTAGGATATACCAAAAAACGTGGTTTTGCTCTACCTATTAATATAACACTACATCATTTACAACATATTTCATCAAACTATCTTTCTTACCTCATGAAGTGACATGGGTCGATCATTTTTACGTTTGGAATCAAATCTACCGTAAATAGCAGCATATTTCCTCAACTCTTCCATTCTTCCTGTATCATCCTCTGTCATCATCATCACCGCCTGTAAAAACAAAATAAAATGTTTTATATCCTGCTGTTCTACACCTGATTGGGTGTATGACGTGTCAAATCTTTTACCAACTATCACTGAGTCAAATTATCCTGGTAAGTAAACTATTCAAGTTAATGTTACGAACGATTCTGAATTAGCTTTAATGTATCAAGCAAGTTAAAAATCTAACTATCGTGTTTCAATCTATCCTTTTTCTTATAGAATCAATCCATCTCATTGATTGATCTCTATTTCTGAAAAAATCTTACAATAAATTCTTGTTGCATAACTCCATACTTTACTTTAGATTGACTTTAGATAGAGAAACCTGATCTGATACGATACAACATAACAAAATTATCTCCCTTTGACCACCATTATAAATACAAATTATTTTACCTGAATCTCTCTATTGATAGGTTTTTTTAAATTTAATTCTTTTGGTTCATAGTGGGACATATCTTTAGCAAACTTGGCAGCCGCTTCCGCGATAGCGTTGATTTGACTTTCTACCAGGACTGGCGTCATCATTGGAGAATTTGGTAACGGTGGTAACGTGAGAGACTAAAAATAAAACAATATTAAAACAATTTTTATCACTTTAAGTATAATATAAAAAATATGGTTTAAATTCGGCATCGTATTAAATGTTAAATATGTTGGATATAATTAATAAATTTTTATTATCAGTCAACATTTCAATCATTAAATTGTGTAATTGTTTAATTTTCAACATTACGCATTCTAAGAAGAGAGAACTGTTACAATTGTGAAGCGAGGCAAAAAATTTTTTACAAATCAATGGACGTAAACGGAAAACCGTGCTTTGTTCTTCCTTGTTTATAAACATAGAGGGGTGGGGACAGCGGGGGACGTACCTGATCATTATGGGAGGTAAGAAAGGACTAGGGAGTACTCTGTGATGTAGGAGTTATATAATAGAGTAAAGATCCCTGGAACTTACCTGATCATTATGGGGGGAGGAAGAAGGACTAGGGTTATCTCCCCTGCTAGCTGGACTGATACTCCGCGACGTGGGGTTCCAAGTGGGCGCGTTTACCACAGAGTTTGATTGACTGGAATGTAATTGATAGTTTGGTAAGGTCTGTTCTCGTATGGAAGTGGGTAGACTACTGGTTGTTTGTGACGTCTGCTGAGTTCCTCCATTACCACTATTACTACTACCACTACTAGTCTGAAAACTTCCTGTAAAAAAACAACAAAAATATCATATTAACTCCGTAAAACTCTCTACAAATACAAACAAAAATATCTTTTTATCATTTTTCACATAGATTAACAACTTTCATCAACTTTGGGGGGTTGATTTAAAAACTGATGAAATATTTCTGATCTTTTTAAGAAAATTTTGCCACTTTATTTTACGTCTCTACTTCATTATGAAAAATCCTCTCAGCTTGTCAACCAATTTCCATTTTATAATAATTTTTTGTATTTAACTTTGGGGTTTATTTGGATATCTTGTGAAATGTCATGAGCTAAATGTTTGACTTTGAAATAAACCTAATTCTGACCCATGTAATAAAAAAATCATAATTTTTTTTCGCTGGCTTTCTGTGTGTATTTGACAGTTTGTTAGTCTGTGGATTTTGAGTTTCAGAAGATGGTTTGGCCTGAAGAAAGTTGGGTTGTTTATCAGGAGAATCTTTGATCATGTTAATCAAATATAATATCATTATAAGAAATTAACAACAAATATCAATCAAATGAACTTTCATTAAAATCATCATATTAAAATGTCATTAAATTAAAACAAAAAGAAACAACAAAAATCATTTTTAAAAACTTTCGAGGGGAAACGATAATAAAAATTATTAATGTTTCAAAAATTTCACACTCCATTGAGAAAGATTATAACAAAGATACGGATGATAAAATTTTATTTTTTTTATATTTTTGTGAAAAATAGAACATGCTGGCCAGGAAGTTTCGAGCAATAAAGAAAATAACACCATCGTATGAGAATTATTTCGTGTTTTTAGTTGATTTCAGAAAGGGAAATCGAAGAAACGTTCGTGATTTTTGGTGAAGGAAAACTCACTGTGTTACGTTTCATTTTAAAGTTCAGATATTGTCATTGTTCAGTTGATAAAGATTAAATATTACAACTTATAACAGAAAACACAAGGGAATATATTACTATATAACACACTTCATTAATAACAAACTACATAATGTTTCAACACAATTTACACGTGTTGTCATCAGATGAAATGAAGGAGGGAGTAAAGATGGTAATATATAGCAAAAAGAGGGGGGGGGATGCAATATGAAATACATTCCCCTGTGTTTCTGTTATATGTGCTTTCAACATTTCAATTTACACGTGTCATCATCAGATATAAGATGAAGATGAAGACGGAGGAAGTAATTATGGTAATATAAATATATAGCAATATAGGGGGTAGGGAGAGCCATGAACATATTCCCTTTCGCTTTCTGTTATATCTACTCTCAACAACTAAATGTCGTTCAAATCTTATTTGACAACTTTTTAAGTTTAAAATAATGATTCAATTCGGAATAAAATGACCTTCAAACCCTAGAACGTGGAAAGCACAAGCTTTGGTGATAGTGATGTCATATATAGTGAACAATTCTATAATTACAGGAAACACAGACAACTGATAAAGAATAATAATGTTGCTAATAAAAGCCATATGGGTCTCAATACCTATATAAAGTTTAGAAAATCCTAAAATCCATATTAAATTGTGTTAAGAGTTCATTCTATATCTCTTTTATTTGGCCATGAAATTTTGTACTGCATAACTTCAGGGTAGAAGTGAAAGAAGATAGATAGAGAAATTATAATTTTATCAAGATTAAAAAGAAAACAACAATCATACCTGGATTAGTGACCCATTCCTGTAAAGCTTTCTGTAATCTACGAACATGTAAAGGTTTACTGGCCATTCCTACCAATGCCATTATTTCCAGGAACTCTTCTTCTCCGGCCTCACATAGCTGTTGTACATCATCACCTCCTGTAATACACAAAATAAATCAGTTTTTAACAATCTTTGGGATGATTTAAGCATCATAACTACCTATCATGCAGTTTCAGAATAACAAAAGTTAAAAAACCACGTGTGTGTCCCTATTCATAGAAGATTTTTGTCAAACAGAAGATTGATGTTATATGTGTTATACATCTTCTAACAGAAAGCAGTGGAATATTTTGACAGACTAGAAGTATTTGTATATACTACTAGTTGTTTATCAAGATTAAGTGAGCCTTTAGTCGTCTCCTGCAGAGATTGTCCAATGACTCTGGGCCCTTGTTCTCAAAAAAATCTTAAGATAAAAATTTGTAATAAAAGTGGAATTTAACATGGAGAAATATCATATTTACAATAAAGTTTGATCTTAAAGATGGATTCCCTTATTTTCATTTATGAAAATCAAAATGCTAATACTTATATGAATAGAAAGTAGAGGTGTTCTTGGAAAAATACCAGTTTGCCTCACAAGTCCATAATAAATTAGAAGAGAATTACCAGCAGAATTCCAGAAACCCATCTTTAAGATATTTTTTTTGGGAAACTGTAACCTGTTGTTTTGAATTGAGCAAGTGATTTCTATTTTATCTATAGTTAGCTAGGTCACAACAAAATATTGGAATCACCACACACTAGCTGACCAGGCTTTCAATACAACCGTTCCCTGGCATTTTTTGACAAAAATAATATCAGAAAACCATGTGAGTAAATTTTTAGAATTTGAACACAGTTTGTGAACACAGTATTTATAGATTATTTCTCAATAAAATTCAAGTAAAAGTCAGTTTTTAATTGAAATAAAATTTATGTTTTATAAGAAAAATTGTTCTATAATACACAAAGTTAGGTGTTAAATACAAACAATAAAGACCAATTGAAAAGTTTAAACAAAGTAACTTCACGTTCAATTGAGGTGTGTGTCAATTTTACTAAAGTACAAAACACGTAATTTTACTTCAATATAAGAATTGTGCTCGAGATTTTTGTAGACCAAAGGCAGTGTTGACTTTTTACTGCATTATAAATTTTTTTTTTTTTTTTTGTATAAACAGTATTTTATTGACAAGAGAAATAATGATACATGAAATTATAAACAGAATGGGAAGAATGTAACAAGATAGAAATTTCTTGTATAAAACCACTTCTGCCACATACATTCATTCCACAGTACAGTTGGTTTGGAGAAATTTTACTTTGAACATTTATTTGAATCATAAAAAAGACCCTATTTTTATTAAATTAGATTTGAAATTTAGTTCTATAAACCCATAAAATAACATTATTTCTATTCACCTGTGATTCTAGTCACAAAATTTAACTTGATTTAAACATTTCCCTCATCATATTGATCAAAAACTCTAATTTATTTCAAATCTGGTCTGTATAAAAAACTTATAAAGATATCATTTTTTCTTAAAATCTAGGTTTTATCTCAGTGACGGTAACTAGAACGAAGCCCAGCTGATTCCTGCTAAATAATATCTATAAGAAATAATCTAAATCCTTATATTGTTTCCGTGGGAATCCGTCGGAAATGAAAATTACGAACAAAAGAATTGATAGCCTTTAGAAATTGTAAAATTATTCAGGAAAAAATCATCAATGTTTCTTTTCACTTTGAAAAAATTCAAATTGAGAAAAATTGCCATCTTGATTTTTTATTCAGAAATAAATTCTCAAGTTTTAATCAATTTCAGTAAAAACTGGTGAAAGGAGAAACGTTAATTTTTGTTAGAACTAATCTGATTGGATGAAAATGAAGGCTAAAATAAAAACTTTGTGAAGGGGATAATATTTATGGTGTGACAAGTTGATTTTAAACTATTGAGGTCAGTTAATAAAAAGTTAAAACTCTGATGAAAGTCAAAATTCACGTTAAATTTAATACAGGAACCCGATTGATTATAAATTATTTAATACTGAATTTATTGGAGAATCTGACCACAGAACATTAAATCATCATCACAAAATATACAGGAACTTGTTAGGTAAATAATAACGCTAATAATACAATATCATTTAATCGTAAATGAATCAGGTGCCAGATTGATTAATTGAAAAGTAAGATGAATAGTTGGAATCGTGGTTTATCAGCTGATACAAACAATTCCTTAAATCTGATTGGTTAATAAAACTAAATATGCAAATCATGTTGAAGCAAATTCCCTCATTGTGCACTGCATGGCTAGTCTTCAAAAGACCAATTAGATGCAGAAAAGGAGGATGTACAACTTCATTTCATTTCATAAGTAAAATTTCAGAGATCATAGGATGTTTGAGAATATCTGGAAGTTATGATGGTAGGTCTTAGGTTAGTTGATTTAGTGTCTACAACCAAACGGAGTGAAGGCTATACTAATTATTTTAAATCTTAGAGGAAAAATAACTCCTTGTCCAAATTTAGCAAAACTCTCTAATGAATGACAAAGTAAAAATGTCACAAAATGATATCAGAGATAACATCAAAATATATATTGATGACAACAGAAAGTACTGGTTATTGAAGACTATAGTCTCAATCACAATAGCTGTATAAAAAACGTAAAGCAAGTAAAAAAACAGAGTGAATAACTGACAAGCCTAGTGGCATTACAACATGTCATAAACTGCCTTGAAAATAAAAACTCACACTGGAGTTTGAAATGTAAAATACTGAGGGTAAAAACTCTCCAAGTTATAAGGTCATAGTGACATTTATTACACAGTAGATCCATCAACCAGTCTTTTTCTGGTCATTATTATCCTATTATTAATATAGACTTTGACAACAAGTTCCGTTTTTTTGTATAGAGTTTTTATGTTTTATTTTAGACCCAGATGAATATTTCTATTAGTAGTGTTTATACAGATACTAATTTTACTATTTAAAAATGATCAAACTGGTCAGGTTATTTCTAATATTTTTCTGTCAACAAATAAGTAAAATTAAGTTCAATGAGAAAAAGAATGAAAATGTGAAAATCAAGGACCATTTCAGTACTTGTACAAATTCGTCTCACTTTTATTATACAATCAATATCATGTTTTGGATTTCAAGTTTTGTTTTTGGGGTTCTTGCCGCCAGATGTCATAAAATTATTTAGAAAGAGGTGTTTCATAGTTTCATAGTAAACCATCTGTTTAATTAAAGATTTAAAAAAAAAAAGAATTATTAAAACCATCTATTTAAAGAATAAGAATTATTTAAGAAAAAATACTTGGAAATATATGATGGTATAACACACTTCTGTAATAACAATCCTTGTGTTTTTTGTTATATGTGCTCTCTGCTTTCTTAATGACGTTCAGATCTTATCAAGAATAATAAAACTTGTTAAAATATTGAGAATTAAACTGGTCATTATAAGTGTTTTTAACACCAACCATTAGTTAAATGACTCATCAGCTTGCCGTGAAACAAAAACCACAATTTGTAAGCGTTGTGAAATTGAGCTGATATCATTTTTATTCTACGTTTAAACTCAAGAATTCTTGCGCAATTTGACGAAGAAAAAATATAAAAATATATCTGCAAGTCGTTTAAATTTCAGAATAAAAACACAAACTTCGCTTTTCGATGAATAGTTACTTCATTGAATTAATAAGATTACATTTTACCATACCGCCTTTTTTTACTTCGCGAATATTTTGTAAAACATTACTTCACTCGAGAGTTGTGGAGTTTTTTTGCAAATTATCTGCTTGGTTGTCATGGAAATGGGAATCTTTGAGAGGGAAAAAAGAGCGGCAAAAGAAACCATTAATCAATTTAAAGTTTGTCATGAAATGAAACCAGTTTTTCTATTTTGTGCAATTCACTGAGTTTTTATGGTCAAAGTTTTCACTTTTTTGATGTGTAGTTTGCAGTTTTAGTTTTATACTGGCAGTTATTGTAAAGGCAAGTTCGAACATTTCCATCTACAAACATCTGGATAATCATATCTTCTCTTTTTTAAATCTTTTAAAATTTAGTTTTGAGGCTTCATTGTGTCCAATCTGAAACTCTACTCTTAACATGGAGATAAATATAATACAAATTGTCACGAATTGATAAAGGTCATTGCAAGCAAACTAACAGCTTGAACCAGCCTTTACGATCTTGACGATTAAAAACTTCGCGGAATAAAAGATGTTTGAGAATGAAGAATCAAGTTAAATTAAACAACACAATCAACGTGAATATCATATCACTATCAGACCAGTTAAACCAGGTCTTTTATTCTTCACAACATAACTTTTATATTCTACACCTAGAATCTTTACTATCTAGATTTACACCTAGAATCTTTACCATCTAGATTTACACCTAGAATCTTTACCATCTAGATTTACACCTAGAATCTTTACCATCTAGATTTACACCTAGAATCTTTACCATCTAGATTTACACCTAGAATCTTTACCATCTAGATATACACCTAGAATCTTTACTATCTAGATATACACCTAGAATCTTTACCATCTAGATATACACCTAGAATCTTTACCATCTAGATATACACCTAGAATCTTTACTATCTAGATATACACCTAGAATCTTTACCATCTAGATTTACACCTAGAATCTTTACCATCTAGATATACACCTAGAATCTTTACCAACTAGATTTACACCTAGAATCTTTACCATCTAGATATACACCTAGAATCTTTACCATCTAGATTTACACCTAGAATCTTTACCATCTAGATGTACACCTAGAATCTTTACCATCTAGATATACACCTAGAATCATTACCATCTAGATATACACCTAGAATCTTTACCATCTAGATTTACACCTAGAATCTTTACCATCTAATCTTTACCATCTAGATTTACACCTAGAATCTTTACCATCTAATCTTTACCATCTAGATGTACACCTAGAATCTTTACCATCTAATCTTTACCATCTAGATGTACACCTAGAATCTTTACCATGTAGATTAACACCTAGAATCTTTACCATGTAGATTAACACCTAGAATCTTTACCATCTAGATATACACCTAGAATCTTTACCATCTAGATGTACACCTAGAATCTTTACCATCTAGATTTACACCTAGAATCTTTACCATCTAGATGTACACCTAGAATAAATTTATGATTTGCGTTCCCCGGAAGATGCAACTTGAGCTCCACCTGTTTAAAATGTCCAGGTGTTTACGAAGATTATTACTTAAAGCGACACTAACGGAAAAGTTCTACAATATGACATCGCCATGGGAATTCATCGTAACCAAGAAAATCAAACATGGCCGATCAGAATTGTTTATTTAGATGATTGTTTTCAATATTTACTTTATGAAAATCAAAACAAACAATCAACAACCTTCTTTCTCCCACAGCCGAGTTTTGAATCATTTTCAGATAAAATTCTACGCCCTTGTTTCATACTTTAACTTGGTCATATGAATTAAAACAGGAGCTTTATTTATAGCTTATCATACCGGTACCACAGAGGTTTTATTTCTTGACAGAGCAGGGATATGATTTAACATTTCCCCAGCCAGACAGTGTCTTCTCTAAAACTTGTTACAAATTCACTGAAAATGGCCCAGTTTGATTGTTTAAAAATAATATGAAATTTGTCAAAAATCAAAAATTGTCTGAATCAAAGTCACAACCTGAGAATTTTGGAACTATTTTCAGGCATGATTAACAACAGAGAGTCAAATTTAACTCTAGTATTAGTTTATTTTTACGAGTCAGAATTAGGTCTTTTACACTAAAGCAACATGGTTCAGACTAATTTCAGTACCTATTGGGACCTACATAGATACAATGCGTAATTTAAAAGCAAGAGCAATAAAAATCATGTGACCAATTCAAAAGAAAATTGTGGTCTCACCTTGAGCGATGAAGACTTGATAATACTGCAGTAAGTTGGCTCGTTGCAGAACTTTATAGAGTTGCCATTCAGAGGTGTTGGAGGGTTGGGCTGTCGTCATAGCTACACCAAGATTGCCTGAAAATATACAAGAATAATTCCTAAAAATTTGAAGAAAATACATGATAAAGCTGTCAGTGAATAAAACAAGACAAAGTACTTGATGCCACTCAGTGAAAGGATTTGTCAACTAAATATCTATTTCAGAGAGTCCACACAGTTAATATTCTGGTACTTCAATTCTAAAACTTGATTTAAAGATTGGCATTCATTTAAGTGAGTTCACATGGTAATTGTAATGTTTTTGGATAGCTTTAACTTTAAAATAAGATATCATGAAAACCGTCTCAAGTTAATGTATTCCAGTTTTTCAAATTTATTTTCCACAAACAATTTGCAGATTTAAGAAAATAAAAACCACAAAATAAAATCTGAACTAAATCTCAATATATTACTAACCATAATTAAATTAATTGTCAACCTCAAGATTGAAAATTAAACCACAAAATAATAAACACATAATCACTGTAGTCTTGTGATATTTTACTCATCTTTTCTTAATATCTTTTAGCTACAGTTTAGTGAACTCTCGTTACAATTTCTAATTAAGTTAAACAGGGAAATATTTGTAATCAAATAATATTTTAGAATTGTCATCAAACTCTAATTAATTGATATATCTCATGATTAAACTAATTTAAAATAATATACAACTAATATCTCAACTAAACATACTTAGTAAAAATACTGAAATGAAATGAATAGAGTTTTACATCCTACTTTTCGGTACCATGTGGTCTAATAAAGACAGCCAACAACATGCAGCTTACAATGAGGTAAATCCTGCTAGTGCTTTTTCAATTTCCAACCATCAAGGGATCTTTAAGCTAATTTAGGTTCTTCAACTAAGCATCCTTTTCAGAGAGTCCACACTGTTTACGGGGTTTTGTTTATTGTTTTAAAATTACCAAAGAGAAAAAGTTCACATGAATTTTTAATCCTGCTTTTATCTTGTATGTTTGTGGGATATCCCAAGTCCTTGTGTTCTAATCTCTATAAAATAGGTCTATTTCTTTTTATTAGTTAACTTTCTAATTTAGTCTTGTACTTGACATAAATATTTGACTGTAAACATTTCAAATATTGTAATATTTTCTCTAGATAATTTTATTAGTTTATCAGGAAAAAAAAATTACTTCATAAAAAATAAGTTCAAATGTGAAACAAAATAAACAGAAGGAGGGCTGTGACAATTTCTGAGTTTGCAAGCACTAAGATATTTTACAAGTCTAGTACCAGGGCACTTTAAGACCATGTAACAAATTCTTGGTTTAGTTTGGTTTTAAATTATCAAAAATCATTAAACACGTTTGGCCTTTTATTTTCAAAATGTAACAGTTATATTCTAGAATTTTATGCTAGAAGATTAAAAAAAAAAAAATTTTTTAATATCAGTCGGCGACGATCCTACCTTTAGATTTAGCAGCCGCGACGCTTAGCGACGCCAGGGAATAAGGCGTACCAATCGTTAAAACCATTTGTACAACTCATACAGAACAGTCACAAAATTTTAATTCTCCTTTTACGAGAACAAACGTGCCTCTCGCTGGTTTTAATACCACTGGCTTGCCGATACCGTCTGTCCCGAGAGTCGAACAAGCCGAGACAAACATTACTCAGTACTAACACGGTACGTTGGAATGTTAGACTGCTCCTCGTAACCTTGGCTTCTTGACAGGGACAACCAGAAAAGTAAACACGCAGTCGGTCGTCGCTACCCATGATGCAGTCCCCCAGCTCGTCCACAGTTCATATCGACAAAACGTAAAAAAATATCCACGTAAACTGTCCATTTAGCAAGTTGTATCACTGTTAAACTCAAACTGATCAACAAATCTAACCAGTAGTTGGCTGAAATCTCCCGTGTTAAAAAATGCTCAAGTCTAAAATCAACAAGTAGAAATCAACAAGAGGTTGATTTGTTTGTTTGTCACTGGGTCGAACTTGACGAATAAATTAGAACGTCAATATACATTATGTAATAAACGTCAGTTTCTCCGCTAATTCTTAATCAATTAAATTAGGTCGATTAATCTATCTAAATATTGATTATGTCAGTGTAAATTGTAGAAACTTTGTGTACAGCAGGAAAAGATCGCTTTTAAATAATTCTACTCTGCGATGAGATTATATACGTTTTATTTCAATCAGATTAATCCTAATCAATATTGGTAATGATAGTGTAAATTGTAGGAACATTGTGGTTTACATTAGGAGTAGTATACTATATAAACTGAAGATGACAATGTAAATTGTTGAAACATTGTGGATGTTATCTTTTACTTATCAATCAGATTATTCTATTTAAAACAAATTCTAATTTTTAATCAAATTTTAAAATCTGAACTCATTCATTTTAAATATTTTCTCAGAAAGTTTCTTGGAAAAACTTCTACCACTTCCTTTAATTAGTTAATATCCTTCTTTCCAAATTTCTAATTAATTTAAAATTTTAAAATTCTAGGAAACATCATTAATATGTGAATTAAGATTTGAAGGGATTGTAAAGAGGTTTTTCTGAACTTTTTATGTGTTCACATCAATTTGCACCATTCCAAATTTCAATCAGATGTCTGTGGTTCCTGCAATTCCACTAAAACTAAGTGTTTGCTGACGTCTCTTATCGCAAAGGGCATTTTGTAATACTAGCAGATTTTGAAAATAGTGACGTCATGAAACACTTAGTTTTTGTGGAATTGCAGGAACCGCAGAAGTCTAATTGTAAATTGGAATGATACAAATTGATGCGATCACTGTCCCCGAAAAAAAGTTTAGAAAACCTCTTTACAATCTGGTTTAGTTTACTATTTATCATTTTGTGTTTTTAAATTATGATCTAATTTTATATTTTTCTATATTTTTTTCAAAGTTATCATTGTATTCTAATATAATTATTAATTTTATTCTTTTTTTTTTTAAAAATTCACAATTATCAGCTTTTAACTGTCTTGAATATAATAAATAATATAAATAGTCTTCAGAAGAACTAGAAATTTACACAATTCCTTCAAAAATACCATTTTTTACTTTCTATTTCTGTTTGTTATTTTAACTTTCAAACGCAGATAATTATGGATACTTATGGATTTGAAAGCTCAAATTTCGATGATGAGCAGTGAACGCTATTATTAATAAGCTCTGCCAACAAATTCCTGTTTCTAAGACTTACATATGATTGGTCAAACGATGGCAAATCTGTCTCTTTAAGAATATCACTGTTGATTTTGATGTTGTCATCTCTGAGTACCCCCTATTACGTGTTACCCGTATTAAACTCTGTGAACCAAGCAAGATAGAAAGAGAATAGGAAGTATGTTCTACCCTGATATAATTTAGTCATCTTCTCATATCCTGTCCCTCACTTTAAATCAAAGTTTCTCGGTCGTCTGAAGTGAGTTAGTCGGTGAGATGACAGGGAAGAAACCACGTATTAGTATTACTCACATCCTTCACAGTAATGATCAAAACCTACGAATAATACAAGTTCAGTCATAAAAGATTGATCAAATGTTATGAAAGGTTTTATTTAGTAAGAAAAGGATGCCAAAGCGTAAATTCTTATCAGATATAAATTGACGGAAAATAGACCTTGAAATCTTAAAACTTGGGTCAAGGAAATATACTATCAATGGCAGGGCATGCTTATTCCCATTCCACTCTGCAACTTGGTTTATCAACACTGGCTACTCTACCAATTGTCAGGGTTCAATAATTCTCCGAATTTCATGTTAAACTTTAGCCTCTTCTGTATAGAAGGATATCAATCGCTACCAGAAAATGATGTCGTAATACACAGAAGTCGCATATCATAGAGTACACTGTATATGCACAGGTTTTCAAATTCAAGGTAATGTTTAGGGCATGTCACTCCCTAGTTTCTCCCTGGACCCCCAGCCCCTCCCAGACTGCCCCAACTACTTTAACCCTGACTTTCCTCCCTCCCTCCCTCAATTCCAAATTTCGTTTCCTGAACCAGTTACTACCAGGTACATTGTTTCTACTTTTTTCCCATTCTAAACCCTTCTCAGTTTCATACCCTATAACATGTCATCTTACCTAGGTTTTGTTGAAAATGATTATTTGACCTTGAGCTGTGAATCAAGGTCATATTGTGAAGTGGATTAAAATATTGTTCTAGTTGGTAACAGAACTGCATTCTGGGATCGGGTTTCAACCATTTTCCGTTGATCATCATTACAAATATTCCGGAATTTTAATTTTACTGATCAAAACTCTCGTTCCATCACCTTGCTTGTATTAACGAAAAATATTTCCTGTACTAAATAGGCTGTTAACGCTTCCAAAATAACGCTTCATAACTTTAAGATTGGCTGTCAGTAAATATTTTGGAGAATACACATAGCTAGATACATCATTTATACAGTCACAATCACCATTTCAATATCAGAATCCATACACAGACAAACTTCAGAAAGCAATCAAAGGAGTGTCCTCAACTTGAAATTCTTTCAATATCTTTGTCATACATCATTTAAATTTTTAATTTAGTTTTTTTCCACCAAGTTTTTATTGTTCCAGGAATTTTTAACCCAGTTGAAATAAATCACATGCTATTTTATAGCTAGGTTCAAAAACAAATCTTTTATAAATTTCCTAATCCACTGACCGCGTCAAAAATTAGCTTCCTTTTACTGTTTTCTTCCACAAAATATACTAGAAGCACAATCTAGTTAATACTGAGCACAATATACCCTAAAATATTCACCAAAACTTTGATATTGAAGTAAATTGGATAATAATTATACCAAGGTCACCTTGAAGATATTTTTTAGAGTGAAATTTAAAAAACAGGATAGTTTAATTTTTTATTTTGTTCGACTTCCTAGTTAGTGAAGTTAGAAATAGAGTTTTACTTCCTACTTTTCTGCCTCTGATTGAGTTAATAAAGTCTAGAGATTCATAACTTGGTGTTGTAGCTTGCTATCTTGTCTTCTTGTCAACCAAGACTGTGTTTCATCATCAAAATAGCATTACTAGACT